AATGTTGTCTTTCCTAAAGACCTTTTCACAGAATAAAAAGGAAAAAAAGGCTTTATCTGAGATCTCAATTACTCCTGCAACTGAAGCTCTGCCAAATGTTTATGTTACCTCTTCCTCCCCTCCTCAAGGGACAGTGACAACTGCATTTTCAATAGCAGAACAATGGATGGTACTTAGTTAGAGAAAACAGAGAACAACAATTCTGGTCCCAAGTGTCCGAGTGAATTTTAATATGTTGCCATAAATCATTTGGATTTTGTTTTCTAATTGAGTACTGAACATGTAAGACTTCTCTGCTCTCTTTGAGCACTGCGATTTAATCCCTAAATCCATAAGTACATACAGTTATATAATTACCAGGGTTATCTAGGTAGACAACGTGGGGCTAGCACCAAAGTAATACATGGTGCACATCAGTATCCAGAATGTTGGAACTGACTGAGGAAAACATGGACTTGGATTTTATCCCCAGTACTTTGAGAAGGTGTCAGATCCAACATCAAGTAAGTGCTTGCCACAAATGTATGAGCAACTGCTGGTTCCCCAGAATCGTTCTTTGCAGACTATTTTAGAGGCTAACATTAAGAAAAAGATAACAAAATAAATAATCCAGAATGGCCCTATCATGTGTGCCCTCCAGGATACTGCCTCGTGTGACTTGACCCATAAAACAAGTTACCAGTTAGTGCGATGCCCTCAAGTCAAGCTGCACTGTGCAGAATTCATATTCATATCTAACGCCATCACTGTGGTTGTGGCTATAATCACACTGAATCACTTCGAAGAATAAATAAGTGAAAGAAGCTGCCTGCTGCCCTTAGAGAAAGTGTGCAGGGCCACACAACCCAATTCTTCCCTTCTGTACAGCCTGTGCAGGTGGTTCAGCATGTACGAAGGAAATCACACAAGCAATGGCAACATATCTACTGCACCTAATAAAAGTAAATCACGGCAACCTTTCCATCTAAATTAAGGTGCTTATTAACCTTCAGGGTCTTAAATATTCAAGTTACACTCACGCACCTTCCACAGTACTATACATGACTGCCACAATGAATGCACACAAAGAATATCAGGCAAATCCGTGATGACTGAAAAGGTTAAGAATTGCTCTGCCTTATTTTTATTCATTTATCGATAATTCAGCCTATAGCAACTGTGTGGCCTCTTCAAAGAGACCTATAAGTTACAAACATAAGTGAGCAATAATGTTGATTTGTTCGCATTAGTCCTGGTTTTATTAACAATAGATATGAATGCTTAATGCAGCAGAAAAGGGGGTTGAATTTTAATAGAGATGTTAACAACATCTGTCAGCATTTATTGCCCTATTGTGACCATGTAAAGAGCCTTATTGGCTGAATATAGAAGTGAGGAAATCTGCTACACTGTTGTAGTCTGCCACTCTTCTGAAATATCACTCTGCTCAGAAGCAGCTAAGGTATTCCAGCTATAAAAATAAATAAACAAAAATATAGAAGAAACAGATTTCTCCAAGCCATGCCACATCTAGGAGAAAGTAAGCACTGCAGCAAGCCAACATGTTCCTCTATTTCTTGATTTCTGCATAAGATGCTTCTAAACATTTTTTATTGTAAATAATAAAACTGAAGCCTGCAGTGAGGCTTACAAGAAGAAAGAAATATAAAGCAAACAGAAGAAACAAACCACTCTCAGACCACAGCAACAAGTTAGACCCCCTCCCAGCAGCATCCAGGGGAAGCACGCCGTGCCCTCACGCTCTTCAAGCAGAACCCCACAACCGTCCCCTCTGGATCAGAAAAATACTTCTAACAATGGACACCAAGAAAGCACACTCCTTTCTGACTCCCTCTCCCCCTTTTTAAACTCAGCAGTAATCTTATTGCCTTACTGGTAAAAACATCAAGCAGGCTTGTTTCCTGTTTCAATGTTATTCTTGAAGTGGGCTGCAGTAAGAGTCTGATTTTCATTGGGCTATTATTATTTGCAGCTGTGCGACCTTTTTAACCCTCTTTTAAAAGTGACATTTCAGCCTCCAACCTCAAGCTGTCTAAACGTTGCAAGGTTTTCAGTCCTCTGATTAACGGTGAAAAAGAACCAGTGGGGAGGTGTACTACCATGTGCCTGGTACAGGTCAGAGCACCAATCCTGTCATTTGCCCAAGTGAGTAATTATGCTCATATGAGCAACCTGTTTGTTGAAATTAATCACCTGGGCACATTTGCAGGACAGGTTTCTTCAGGCTGCTGTGACCCAGGTCACCAAGATTGCCAAACACAAGCACAAAATCTGCAGCCACTATGCAGAGACATGAGCAATAAATGAAGCATCACCTATTTCTTAGGGTCACGGTCACAATGTACAAGAAGTGAGAGGAGATGTAGTTACGGTGCACTTGTGAATATCAAAGAACCCCATCAACGTATGCAGTGCTTTAAAATGCTAGTGGCAGCTCTTCAGCGCAGGACTATTTACAGATAATTACAGGGTTATTGCAAGTGCTATTACAACTTGTTGGTTTTGAAAGTGTAGCACATGCAGGGTTAATGCCTACAGTTGTTTCCAATATGCCCTTGCATGAGCAAACCAATGTTAAGTAGCATTGTGCTGAAACAGTGCTTGGTGTTTTCATCTGCATGGAGCACCCAGTGGAAGCGCTTGCTTTCTGAGGCTAGCATCATGCTTTCCACATGCACACATACAGGGCTCATTATCACGGCCCTGCCTGCTCCAGCTGCTACAACAGAGGGTCTGTCAGCATTTCCATTAGAACCCCCCCTGTTTCAGGACTAAAGCATTTCCAAATGGTTCTGGATGCTGGAAAGAAATTTGTGTCTGGAGTCCCCAAGAAGGCCTTTAATGTGATACACATTTGAGCTGGGGCTCAAGCCCTTACTGGTACTCCAGTGAAGTCTTTGTCATTACATTTATGACATTTATATGTGGAAAAACACTCAGCTTGGGCCTTTATTCATTTGTTTTAAAAGAGGAGAGTCCCATAAATCTTCAGGCAGAGCAGAGAACTCTCAAAAAGCAGTTGATGTGTGAATTGCCTAAACAGTGAGCCGCATTGGGTTCCATCCCCATGGCTGGCAGCAGAGATCACTGCCTGTGTGGCACAGGGTGCCTTGCTGGTACTGATGTCCCCTGCCACCTGTGCTGGCCAGCAGCATGTCTTCAGCTGATCCTGAAGGAGAGTACCAAAAATATTGCATTTTCACACTTGCCAAGCACCTCAGTTCTTTTTAAAGAGCTACTCAGTTTGTTTACTACCTGTATGAACAAAACCCAATGCTGGGAAGGCTTCCCAACTGTCTAAAGGCTCTCCCTATTGCTCTCTCTTCCAGGTATACCCATCTGTCTCCAGGCCAGAGGCAGAAGTGTTCTCGCTTCCCCGCTCAGTATTTGGCCACTGTAAAACACTTTTTCTGTAATCAAGGAAAACCTAATAACTGTCTCTCGCAGATCTTCTTCTTTCTTCTAAAGAAAGAGAGAAGAAGTAGAACTGAGAGTAATCAAACAGAAAAGAGAAACAAAAGGTAGGAAGTCTCTTCCAAAGGGAGGAAGAATGAAGTTTGAAAAACTCAAGAGTCAAGGAGCAGGGGAACTGGGGGAAAGCAGCACCCCAAAGGGGCTGGAGACAAGGAGCCACAGTGGAAATGAGATGGAGAAAGTGGAGATGAGGCCTGCAGACCACTGTGTACAGAACCAAGAAAAGAGGAAAAAAGTAAAAGGATTCTTCTGAAAAAGAAAGTCAAAATAGCGAGCAGGTGATCTGCTGCCTTCCCATACAACAGCAGAGTTAGAGCCCAACACTGTAGTCCATGCACACAAGAAAGGAACATCTGGTAGAGTGCACAATTTGTCCTCTGCATTGGTTGAGCTTTATCTTAAGTCTAGAGAAGGTGCACAAGTTTAGATTATTAATACACACCACCTATGCTCTACACGTCAGTATGTGAAAACCAGCATGAATTTTCTTGGTATAGAGGATTTGCTGTTTTATGGAAATAACCATGGTGTTATTAAGCACAAGCAACAGAAGACAAAATAAAGGGAAATAGGAGAACAAATTTAAAAAAAAAAAAGCACTTGAAAGTTCATGAAAGTTATCTCAGCACAGAAATATTCTATAAGAGAAATCAGATCTTTATAGGGAAAGATATCTATTACTTCAACTCTGCAAAAGCACTTCAAGGAATATTATGGTTCTTTTATACTCTGCAACAGACCAAGTAGGGACTGCCTCCCCTGGAAGCCTTCCAAGCTTGTAGCTTTGCAACTGTCCCCCCACTGATGTCATTTGCAGAACAGGGCTAATACCTGCTTTCCCTCATTACAAGTTTGAAACAGCACAAGACCTGACTGCAACCTCGCTGACAACGCAGAGGTTTGCTTCACAGAACATGCAGCAGCAGCAACACGGGCTGTAGCAATATAACCACAAACACAGGCAATACGAGGAAGAGTCACTATTTGACAATGAACATTTCACACACAGGCAGACAGAAACACCACCTATATCACTTCTCCATTTTACCTACTTTCAATTTTTCTGCTAGCTGCTTCACTGCTGGAAAAACCTAGATCTTCTAAGTAAAACCAAAATCTAAGTCTACAGATTCAACATGCCAAATATTAAGGAAAATGTCAAGTGTCTATGGCTAGTCAAATTCACATTCATCCCAACATTAATAACTATCCCATTAGGTATTCAACTTAAGTGAATATGATAGAAGATTTAGACTGCTGTGGGTACTGAAATAGTAAAAAGAAAGGAAGAAAGAAAGGGAGAAAAATCTTATAACAGGATTCAAAAAGACACCTTAAATGATCTGAAGAAAACTCTATAATCTCAAAGTCTCAACCAACTTTTGATTGGTTGCTCAAATAGTGATAATACCCTCTCTATACATAAGTCACCATCCACCTCAAAAAGAGGTGGGGAAAACTGCAAAAAAACTACAGTAACAGCAGTGGCAGAAATCTTGCTTCAAGATACAAACACTAAGAGCGAGTGTTTTAAAGGAAAAAATGTATTTGATCTGTTTTTTCCTTATAAGCAAGTCTTGGCTTCTCCCTGTTTGGGACATGGTCCCTTGGGGCACAGAACATGCACATAGAAGTTAAAACCACCATTAGCTGAAATCAATATTTACCAGCAAACACAAGATTTAAAGGAGAAGATACACACAAAGGACTCCATTCCAGACTCTTACAGACATTATTAACACAGATCCAATTGCACCTGCTCTCTCATTACTAGGTTTTAGAGGGTTACACACTTAATGCCAATACAGTGCAATATGTGATGCCCTAGTGAGTCACTAATCACTACGTACAGGATGCTTATATACAGCTATTTGCCAGGAAAAAGGGGGAAAAAGATCAGAAAATGCATGGCTTGTCAGCCTGCCCCAGTTTTCACTCCTCTCCCAAAGGTTAATAGTGTTAAGTGAAGTGGGTCCTCTGTCTTCTGCAAACCCTTTCACAAGCACAGCACCATTCCCATAGCTGTGGAAGCTGCTATGCTTCTTGATAGTAGTTCTTACGCCAAGAGCTTTATTGTGGATGTACGAAAGGAAAACAAAGAGTCTGCAGATCATCTTCGCAAGTTAAGATGGTTCATCATGTCTATTGCTGTGAAGTGAAAAAAAAACCACAACTTTGAAGAAAAATTCAAGTGTTATGTACTGGAGAAGATCTACAGGAAGTCTATAAAGGGCAGAAAAGGCAACTGCAACCGTGGCGAGAAATGAAGCCCATGAAATGGAGGGTGTCAATGATGAACTCCCAGTAACATCTGGCAAATAAGCTAATCTTTTGGGACTTTCCAATGTTGGCAGATAAGCATGTTGTCTGTCCCTTCAAAGGCTGACCTCATTTCTATCCTTGGGTTAATGGCATGCAAAGCTCCATGCTACAGTTACTTTTTTCACTCTTTCCCCCTCACCCCCCTTTCCGCCCCCAACAGTTATTATTAAACACCAAACAACTTCGCCTATTGTTATAGTTTGCATACAATTTAATTAAGAGTTTTCCCTCCAGGAATAATATTGACCAAGGGTTTTGAACGGCTGTTTTGTTTTTTAAGTGTACTGTAACTGCAGTATGCTAATTGCTTTGGTTTATGATACACAAATAGATAAAAGAATTCACCTACCTTGCATGCAAATAAACACTTGGACTTCCAAAGGGAAGGAAGAAAAAAAGAAAGCATAAAAGATATCCTGGGGGAAACAATAACACAAAGCTGCTTAGCTGACTTTCATACCAGAAGCAGTTAGGGGCTTTAACACGGGCTTTGAAAATTCTGCCAGCCCAAATTCTCCCTCCATTTTATTATATAAAATAATCCTTAAAACTAGAACTCAGTGCACCAGCTTTTTACACTTTAGAGATACAATTTTGCAATTCTGTGTATTTAAAATAATTTGAAATTAAGATCAATCTTGCTTTTTACTTTTTGGCTTCATAACTAACACACAGGACAACTTAAGACTTTCATTACATAGAAAAATGAGGCCATTAATAACTCTGCTACAAGCCGTTAATTATTAACTTTCACCCTTTTATAATTAAATTTCATAAGTTTTTTTTTAATAGTTGGTAACTTCTCTTTCTTCAAAAAGACCAAAACTCCTGAATCAAGCCTCAGCATTCACTGTTCTTAGTGTAAGATAAAATCCTTTGGTGTAACAAATCTCTGCTGGGAACATTGGCAGCCTGCACACTCCCTCAGGCAGCACTCAGCACAAGAAAGTCATAGACTTTAAAAACTGAAAACTCTTCTCTACAGTCCTAACAATCAAGGGCAAGCTGATCTGCAGCACTTCAAACTCTGAATATCCAAAGCTACTACTGGAAATCTCCACTACATATTCCTTACCCTCAGACACACTTCGTTTCTCACCATCCTGTAACAACATTTACTGACAGCAGCTTAAAAACCAATTTCAGGTGAGTTTCATTTGGATTTAGCCTCTTCCGCACATTTTTTATGAATGCAGAGATGGAGTCATCCTACTGTTAAAATAAGAGCTTTTGAATTTTGGATTCAAGTTAAAAAGCTCTTTCCACCTCATTCTTATGTAGCACGTGTTACAGCTGGTATTACAGCTGGAAAGACTATTTTGGTGAAAATGGGAAAAGAAAGAAGCAGGGAAAGAATGCTCACCTGTATCCAAAGATCTAGGTTCACATGAAAGACTCCACAGAGGAGAGATCTCCAGAAAAAGATCCTCCCCAGGAGCAGGCAGCCCTTAAATGGGAAGAGGTGCAGCCAGCTTCCATCCCTTCCGGTCACACAGCTGAACTGCTTTCACCTGTGCTCTGTGGCTGACTCAGTGCTTGCCTCAGGTGGTCAATCAGTGGTTCAGGCCGTGACTCCACAGGTCCCATACAAGCACAACACAACTAGACTTTAAACGGGCCATAAGGAGTAAGCAAGGATTTTCTCAAACTTATCAGTAGCTTAGAAAAAAATATATACTCAGAGAAGTTGCAGATATTAAAGTGAGAGCTCCTGTATTCCGCTACCTCCTTCTTCAGACTAGAGGCTTTCACCCTGCCAAAACAACTATAACTATGGACCAGAAGTGCAGCTTAAAAAAGTTAAGCAAAGTCTTTTTTGAGGCCAGGTATTTTAGTGTACATCTGCTGGAGGACCTGAAGGTAAACCAGCAGTCATGGGATTTGTGCACTGCAGGTATCACCAGCTGCAGATACCATCAACAAATTGGGCCCTTCTCAGCTTGTTCTGGATGTTATCGAGATGGCATTGCCCAGCCACCACTGTATAAATCATGTTTTGCTTCCTGAGGAGAATCACTCTTATGAGGGAGCCAGTGATACCTGCTCAGCACCTTCCTCATGGAGGAGCTTAGGGGCACACATAGGCCTTCTGAGGCTGGAACAGTGGCCCCTTGCAGTCCCCGGGGAGTTGCACATATCACTGGGAAGGGAAGCCATGCTTATCTTTGATTTCTTCTGAAGTGTGGTGAAAGCAGGAGCCACCACCGAGGTCTGCAGCTAGAAGTGAGCCATGCACAGCGCTGGCTCTGAATCCTCAGCCATATTGATGCTCTCCTCCCCCCTGAGGGCTGTGCCCTGGTAATTCATGTATCTGACCAGGAGAGAGACAGGACAGCCCACAGACTGCTTGGCAGACATCCCAAACAAACGAAAAAAAGTAGGGTTTTGAGCTGCTCCCCCTCCCACAGACCCTCCAGTCTGGGTCTGGTGTCCATCCCAGAAGTGTCTGAACCCTTGGGTCAATCAAGAAGACTGGACCCAAGAGAGGGGTTACCACTGAAGAGAGTCCAAAAGAGGTCTTTGACTTTTTCTCATGTGTCCGCCTGCCCTGAGCACAGAAGCAGTGATTTCAACCTTCCCCGCCACTTGGGTGAAAGGAAAAAGCATCCAGAAGTATTTGTGAGGTGATCACCCCTCACAAACTGCAATCTGCAGAACATCTGCTGCATGAAAGTGAGAAACAACAATCTGCCTGTATCCATACCTATAAACAGCAGTTCAAGCAGCGGCATCTCAGAGAAGCCCCAAGACAGGCAGGGATGTGACCATGCTATCCAGAATCAACTGAGCAGCACCTGCCAACAGGCAAGCGCACATGCAAACAGCAGGGAATGCTCCTGACATTTCTTTCCATCCTGAAGGACTGCATGTATGTCTCAGGATGAAACTCTCCAGGATCCATCTTGAAAAAGACTGCCACACTGCATTAAAAAAAGCACACTTTCTGGCTGGTGGATTATTGTCTTCATTAAGGAGGCAGTGCATCAAGATTCTCAGCCAGTCGCCAACCACTAATTTCTGGCAGTGACCTATCCATAACTTCAAACAAGAATACTACAATCCAGCACACATGAAAAACTATTACTTTCCTAAAAAGGAGGCAAAGTAAGGAGTAATTCTCCATAGGCTGTACATTCACAATCTGCGAACAACTCACAGCAACTTGTAACATGCTGCAAGTGTAAAGCGGTGAAATTCAAACATCCCTGAAAACCACAGATTTGTAACTTGCGCTTATGTAAATACACAGCTTTCAAGCCTCAGCCATCTTGGCCATAGCTCTTCTGGGAAAAATGAAAAAATCTTGGCTGAGATTTCCTAGAGCACGTAGTGATATTGACTGCCTCCAGTTCTTTAGCTGTCCAATCAAAAATACTTTAAAAGGACTTCAATTTCAAGCTATGCTGCACACACCCTCTTCGCATCATATCCCTTTAGGGAATATTTATCTTAGAAAGCAAGCAAATAAGGAAAAGTCAGACACATGCACATTATTCCGCTCATTCTTCTCTCAGGATTCTTACATAGATGTAATATTGTGTTGAAATTACAGACAAGAAGATAAAGACAACAAATTTGAAGTCTGAATTTTTTAAACAGAGTCTAGAGATGTCCAGAATCTCACTAACTGCAGTGACCTTTAAGTGTGTTACACCTGTGGCCTCTTCTTTAAAATCCCAGCTGACATGATATATCCCAAGTCATGCTAAGTTGATGGGAAAGCCAGGAAATAAACACATACGTGTTTATATCCACAGCGTACTTTGTAACTACAAGGTCATTCTTTTGGGACTGGGCTGCATAGACAGATTCTGATTTTTGCATTTTTAATTAATACAATTTATCTCATTTTCAATTACTGAGAGTTATGAATAATGAATTCTTTGTATGAGAAGTTAGAATTTATTTTTTTTTTAAAAAAGCTACCTCAACATATAATTGCCTCAGTTTCTAAAATGAGTATTTCTTACATAAGCTGCTTTGCTGGTCTAATAAGCATATGAATATATAATTCCTTTGACCCCTCATGGAGGATGAGAAGTTCACTGAGATTTATACCAGAACAGTGAAAAATACCCTTATTTCAGAATTAATCAGAATGTAAGTGTTAACAACTTCTAATGCTATAGATAATATAATCCAGTACACAGAAAGCCTGAAGAGTCAACCCAATAATATCTGCATACAGAATCACCAAACTTATTACAGTTTACTTGCCCGTACAACAAACATGCTATAGATGTCTTGTATCAACTGAACAGGTCTACTTATACCTCAGAGCACCTAGACTACAGCAGTAACCATCATCACAACATAACCATACAATTGAAGTAGCTGAATTCCTGCAAAGGCAGGTTTTATCGGTTAGCACTATCAATGACTGCTTCCAATCAAGCGTTAATGGGATATGCCTTTGGTGTTTGGAAACACAGAGCACTTCTGGAAAGACACTTTCACCCTAAGAGATTAACAGATCCTCACAGTGCACCACCTGCCTCAGATCAGGCATCTCAGGAGAGTCAGGAGTTCCTCCCAGAAAGCTGTATTACTAAAGGATTCTCCTTTCCAAGTACATGCTAATACTACGAAGGCCATTATAACTATGTACTCTAGTACTCTAGCTGTCATAATTTTCCCTGACTTACTATCCAACTCCATAGGCAAAGGTTAGGTTTTCTTCACAGAGAGAAATTTCTATGAAGTTTCTATCTCTATGAATTTTCAGATTATTACTACTGCTTTCCCATGTACTTAATTTTTCAATTGAGACCTTCCTATCTTCTTTTCCTAAGGACGACTTCTGGTAATCTCTTTTCAGTTTTTACCCCTATTTTCCTGCTGGAAAAAAAAAAAAAAAAGGAAATAAACTGAAGCCACAGGAAAAAAAGTACTTTGACAATGGTGTTTGTGTTATTGTTTAAGTGTAGAATTATGGAAATATTTAGGTTTCTTTCTCAGTGCACACTTTAGACAATTTTATAATTCCACACTAGCTCTTCTGTTCACACATGTGACAAGACTGACTACAAAATCCATTTTGCAGGAGTTGATAAGGCAATGTTAGTACAACTTCCAAACAGATAATGCAGTCCTACAATTCAAGCAGTTGAATCTCACAGTGAGGATCCCAGCTTCAAGATGTGTTAGAGAGATCAAGCCCTTCGCTCTACTGGATATGCCCTTATATTTAGTAGAAAGGGAGGAGGAAGCAGAAATTATCAGACTACATACAGGCTGGCAATGATCCCTTCTTTCCTTCACTTGTTTTCAAAAACTCTATAGCCTGTGGGTTTTGATGGGAGACTTTAGCTATGTGATAAATCATAGTTGGTAAAACAATTATTTCTCATTTAGCTCAAATCCCCTTTGGAGGTCTTTATCAGAATAGTTCCACCTGCAGACCGACAGCAAGCAAGCCAATGTAGCAAGACCAGTTCATGGACCTTCTGATAGAGTATGAACATGAAAATGCATATCCACTATGGACTGATTTTACAGTAACCTTGCTAGACTATTGCAAGACTACTCATTTTGGTGTGTGAAAATCCCTTTGGTGTTTTCCAGTTAATAAGGATGAAAGGGGGAAAAAAAAAAAAAAAAAGAGAGAGAAAAGAACATGGGAAAAAATTATAGGGCTGCACAGGCAGCCTCAAAGGAACATGGACTGAACAACCTTTGAAGTACTCAATTCTAAAATGAGCTCATATGAGAATTTTTTGAAGCAATAAAAGTGAAGCCTCAGAAACAAGTGTAAGTTACAGCCTGAAGTGCTTTATCACAGCTCCATGAACCTTCTTCCATAAAAACCAGTTGTTTAAAAAGTTTACTTACTTCAAGGGAAATGTGAAGTGATATGGGAGAAAGGAAGAGGGAAGATTTTATAGTTTCCCAGAGGTGTGTTGATAAATAAGGGCTACACCTTATATCAAAATCATTCCAGGAGAATTGTTCTCTGCCAACTTGAAAGGAGACATTTGTGGATGTCTCATCCCTGCAAGTGTTCCAGGCCAGGCTGGATGGGGCCCTGGGCAGCCTCATCTAGTGCCTGATTTAGTGGTTGGCAACCCTAAGCACAGCAGGGGGTTTTAAGTAGATGATCTTTGAAGTCCCTTCCAACCCAATCCATTCTATGATTTTCTGCCTGGAGAAGGACAATTACCAGTGTACTATCTACTTCTGCAAAAAACTGCCCCCTGGAGAGAAAGTCTTTGATTTAACAACATGCCTATAGGTACATAAAATCACACGCTAGCTTTTAAGTTCACTGCCTCCTAACATTATGCCATGGCCAACTTGTCTCAGCCGTGCCACAAAAAATACTATGCCTATGTACATGGCACCATGCAGAACTGGACAGAGATACCCACACATATGCTGAAAGAAATGGCATTGCTCCTGCACTAAACTGCCATGCCTTTCACCACACACAAAACTCTGCTGAGGTGATGTGCTCCTTCCAACCTTACATC